CCGAAGACGAAATATCTGGGGTACTCTAGTCAGAGAAACAGATTTGCAGTGGCTCACCTCTTTTATTCCCTGCCCCCAACTATATAATCTAAAATAATAATAAAAAAACGAACGGAAAGATCTTAAAAGAAAATAGAGGTCAATGTTGTTCGGTACTCCTTCGGTTCCGGGGGAGGCGGCGACGCTGAAACAGGAATGGTACGGGTATGATACGCCAAAAGCAAGTCACGTGGCTGCAGTTTTACGACAGAGGCGAGAACATAAAATGCTGTATAGTTGCAACTCTTATTGTGTATGATTTACATGAAAATTACTAAGATTACGATTATGCGATGTGGTAAATTCTCTTGGTACGTATGCAGAGTACTGACGTATACAGTAAGAAGCTCACATGAACTAAATTTGGGATACAAATCTTGCAACAGAATATCGAATACTGCTAACTTAAAATAAAGGACCTCGGCGAACAATATCCATATACCTATTCTCGTGTAGATTTACTAAAATTATTCAAAACGGCAACTAACGAATAACTTGTTTTCAGAACCTAAAAACATCGAATGATTACACCAAAATATGATTTCAGAAATTTACCGATAAGAATGTTTGAAGCGTAACATTAATAATAGCACCAGCAGTGATAATCATTGATCTTTTGGAACGCTCCATCATCAAAAATAAAGTCTTCCTGATCTTAACATCATACCGGTACCAACAGCCCATGTATATTGCTTCTGTTAAGCTATTATTCTGTAACAAAAACAGTAAAAATTTGTTTTTAAAAACAATATTCATACTTCTTCATAGAGTAGGGTCCCGTAGTGACAGTAAAATAATATCTGACCACTAATCACCAAAAAATAGATTAAGTAAGTGAGTGTATTGATACTTGCTATTTCAACCTAAAAACGTTTCCATAAATAGAGTAGATTTGAACGAACTACTATGAAACAAACGAGAGTGGATCCTATACAACAAAAACACAGAGCCAACAAACTTGCTGCAAATTGCCAAAAAACGCACCATGAAAAACATTCTTCATAGTCACCAACAAACCTGAAAAACCAATATTTAGACAATCTTTGTAAACCGTAAAACGTGTACTTCAAAAATGCGTCGGAAATGTAGTTGAACTGATAAAATCATGGTAGAAAAAATACCTCGTGAGTAATTTTCAAAATCAAGTTCTACTTACTTTAAAATATTGTTGTGGTGTCTCACACAATGCTTCAGATGTTTGTAAGCCACTTTGTATGTTATTGTATTGTACTCATTTTCCGCCACATTTGTGATCTTTTGTACATGTTTGTCCAGATGCTCTAAATTATACTTCAAAATTTTTATTTGAGTGGTGGCATGGTAAGCTAGACCCCCAATTAATGGATCTGTCATTGTTGCAACAAACCCATCATATAATGCGGCTGAAAAGTGCATAATACTAATATTCCTTGACACGTTTATTTTCTTTTCGTTGAATACGTACCAATTGTAGTATATAGTAGCGTAGCATAGTAGACTAAATTTGTAGATGTGGGATCAAACGGCAACCAAAGGTATAGTGGAAACTTCTTCTCTTTTGAAAACAGCGCAGGCAGATTAAAAGCGAGTTCAGCCACCACTATACCATAAAAATAAACAGTAGAATTTCTTCGACAGATTCGGATGCATTCCTCAGTAGTTACTTTTTCTACAGAATCTTTTGGTGCAAAATCTTCATGCCCAAAAAAGTTTATACAGTTCCTTATTTTTTCTCCATACCGGAGAAATGGTAAAATCTTCAAACAGATAAATAACGTTTCGGTGGCAAAAGTCGTCATCAAATTCTTCTGCATGTAGTCAGAGTTTTCATCCAATACAATGTTCACGAGTGCGAGTGCTGTACTCAAAACTAGTAACGAAAAATATAAAAAATAAGCTCCCACTTTCACAAATACTGATCTTTTTTCAGATTGATATAAACCGAAAATTTTTAACACAATTAAATTTATTTTGAAGCTTTGTTGAATTACGTCTTCCATTGTCACTACGTGCAAGACTAGCAATCGACTGAAATTATGGACTTCGAATGAAGTGATTTAAACAAGCACGCCTGCTCTACATCCTTTGAAATATTTCTCCAAATCGTTTAATCATTGTGCTGGGGAATTTGTTGTAAATTAAACATCAAAGCTTCGTGTAATTACTAAAATTATAGGGAACAGAAGTTAATATAATTTTTTCAATTGACATGACCATTAATCCTTTTAAAATTCTTCTGTCGGTTTTGATAAACGAATTATTTCATTTCTTATTAATTTCCCGACAGCATCTAATATTGTCGCACCGGAACTAAGAGTTGCACGAGTCTTTGACATGACTTAATTATAAATTCTGTTTGATTAATTAATAATAAATTTGCTTTTACAAATTTCACCATAGACAATTGAACAGTTTACTGTACAACGTCCACTTGCAGATTGAACTGTGAGAAAATAATCGATGAAAGTGAATGGTGACGTCGAAAGCTAAAAATCTTCAGATAATTGCCTAAAGTGTGAGGTCGGTTTTTTCCAACTTATTTGTGAAAGACATGTTTTGTATAAGAAACGGATGCCATTCATTTGAATCGAAATTTAGGTATTTAGTGTTATATTCAAGAGTAATAGAAAAAGTTTTTGTAAAGTAGTTACATCCATAAATCTTTGCACGGTTACATTTTAATATAAAAAACTGCTAAAACTAATTTTTGTTCCTATTTTAACTTGAAAATGTGAAATAATCGAAGTAGAGAATTTCTCGAACCTCATTCATCAGACTAAGAGTACAATAAAAAATTATTACAAAAGTAGCTGAAAATTGATATTTACATCATATGATTATATTTCTAATAATAATAATTTTTTCGTTCCATGAGAAACTAACCCCTGCCCCCGGTACCCTTATCACAGCTTCCGGACCGCCAAAATGTACTTCGTTACGGTTTTTAAAAACGAGTAAATTCTTAAACAATATTTTCAAAGTTTGTTTTACTTAAATGAATTTATTTCCAACTTTTGGAACGTTTGTTTTATTCCTTTTATATTTTCAACTTGTCCGTTTAAATTTATCAATACTTTCAGGAGCTGCAGTTTTGATCTAGGTCCTTGAGTAGTTACACTAGAAGCTTATTTTTAACTTACTAAAAACTAGATTTCATATTTAACTGTGGAATTTTTATTTAATTTTGAAGCAAAGCTTAATCATTTGCTGGCTTTTCAAATAACAACCACACTCTCAGTAGTGATTACGAAATTAACAACCACCACAGTTTGGTAAATTTTTTATTTGATTTAGCTAAAGTTTTAATGTTTTTACTATTTTCTGTCTGTCTGATTAAAATATTAATCCACATCGTCGAAATATTCCTCTGTATTGTCAAACCCTTGGATCGTTCCTGTTTTTGGTTTTTATTTACGATTTTGTCAGCTGAGCAAATTATAAAAAGTTACAAATATCTTTATATTTATGATTTAAAAATTCCATCATTGTTTAATACATTTAGAAAAAAATGGGTCTAGAGAGTTTAGACGGTACTTCCCTCGTTGTCGGTAACGTGTCGACTGCATGTCTATTATGTTTTTTTCGCAGTAGATTTCAAAGCATTCGGTTTTGTAGTTCCTGAGTAAATTTACGCATTCATTAATTTGTTTGGGGTCACCCTGTATATGCAAATCCAAAAAATATAAATGCAATGATAAATTACAAGTACAGACTCATCATATTTTGGATATTTTAGATAGGATTTATTTCGCAAACTTTTGAGCTGACGTCATCAATTTTTTGGAGGGAATAGCCAAATATATTTTGATTAAAAATTTATTATGCTCTTTATAACCTTAAAGCATCTGCAGGATTTCAAAGCGTTCGGTTTAGCAGATTCAAAATTTAATTGCAAATTGGTGTTTTATTATTTTGATTTTTTTTCCAAAAATTCTGGACGTTTCGGGTAAAAACTCAATTCGGAGTCATAAACTACATGTGTAGGACTATGTTATTTTATACAGAGAGGTAACAGAGAGTAATCTATACAAAATAAACTACATCACATTAAACAAAACTTCTCTCATACCTGAAGTCAAATATTCAAACAAACTCAATATCTTATGAAAAAAATGTCGAGGTGTTAAATATTCGATTCACGATCTATTTATTTCCTACAGGAGCGAGGTAGGTATCAATTAGATGAAACACGTCGCAAATATGGTACAAACATTTTAGTAGAATAAAAATCAAGAGGGATTCATAAACCATAAGTACATGTTCATGTTATATTTTAAAATTAAAATAAAAACTAAGCAAAATGTTGACTACAATCGGTCCAGTAGTTTCGGAGATTATCAATCGCAGTGAAAATTAGTTTGTAATTTCCTTTAAAAACTTTCAGTTGACCACATTACATTACAATTATTCTCGGAATTATTCAATAAATTACTAAATTGTTTCCAGGAGTCAAAATATCTCTTTCGTTTCAAATTATTCCTTCATTATTTTCTTGGTGATCACTGATAATAAGACCATCTGACAATTGACTACTTTCTTCTAGAATACGAAAAATAGGTCTTCCGTTTCCGTCTGTCTGTCTGTCTGTCTGTCTGTAGTCTGTCGTCTGTGTTGAATTTTATTATACAGATAATCCCCGAAACTGCTGAATCGATTGTTGCCTAATTTTCTATGTAGATATTTTAAGAATTTACCTAGTGTAAAGAATAAAACGCTAAATAAATTGTGTTTAGCTATTCCCACTAACAATTTGATGACGTCACGTCAATATATTGCTTAGTAATTGGTAATGTGTGACTGCCACATTCCTTAAGGTATAGATAACAACCTGAAAATAACCCAGTTTGCAGTTGTATGACGCAATACCTTCCCTTAGTAAATATATTGTGTACTAATCTCGACAATAAGAATGTCTACAGTAGTCAAAATTCAATCCGAGATCAGGAGTAGAGATAAAGAAAAATCATCGTCTATTTATACACTTATTCTCCTACAGGTTTATCAAAACTATTTAAAACGGCAACTAACGAATAACTTGTTTTCAGGACCTAAAAATATAAAACAATTAAGGCAAAAAGTAACCTGACAAAGTTACCGATAAGAATGTTTGAAACGTAACATTAATAACAGCACCAGCAGTGAAAACCATTGATCTTTTCGAACGCTCCATCATCATAATTAAAACCTTCCTGATCTTAACATCACACTGAAACCAACAACCCATGTATATGGATTCCGCCAAACTTTTGTTCTACAACATAAAGTAAAAATTTGTTTCCGAAAAAAATATTCGTACTTCTTCATAGAGCAACGTCCCGTAGTGACAATAAAATAATATCTGACCACTAATAACCAAAAAGCAGAGGAAGTAAGTAAGTGAACTGATGCTTGCTATTGCAACCTAAAAATGTTTCCATAAACAAAATTGATTAGAAAGAAACTGACGGAACGAACGAGAGTGGATCCTCTACAACAAAAACATAGGGCCAGCACGCTAGATGCAAATTGCCAAAAGACACACCACGAAAAACATTCTTCGTAGTCGACAAAAAAGCTGAAAAAAAGTTGTGTAAATCTACTTTCAAAATATGAAAAGTAATAAACTGCCCAAAACATCACAAACTATTTAGAATCACTTTTTAAAATTGTTTTAAATCTTTTGGAATATAAAAACTAGTCATTTATGATGCTGACTGCTAATGAATAATTTGTTCTGAGGTACCTACTTTAGAATATGATTGTGTCGATTCACGCATTGTTTCAAATGTTTGTAAGCCATTTTGTATGCTATTGTACTGTATTCATTTTCCATTGTTATCTTGTGCACATGTTTGTCAATATTCTCTAAATTATACTTCAAAATTTTTATTTGAGCAGTAGCGTGGTAAGCTAAACCTCCGATTAATGGGTCTGTCATTGTAGCAACGAATCCGTCATATAACATGACTGAAACGGTACAAAACTGATCTTTAAATAATTATTTATTTGCTGTCCAATACCCACCACTTGTAGTGTACACCAGCATAGCATAGTAGATTAAATTTGTAGATGTGGGATCATACGGCAACCAGGGGTATATCGGAAACTTTTTCTCTTTCGAAAATATCACAGGTACATTCCAAACAATTTCAGCCATCACTATCCCATAAAAGTAAACAGTAGAATTTCTTCGACAAATTCGTATGCATTTCGCAGTAATTTGTTTTTCTTCAAAATCTTTTGGTGCGAAATCTTTATGCCCGAAGAAGTTTATGCAGTTTTTGATTTTTTCTCCATATCGTAAAAACGGTAAAACCTTAAACAAGATAAACATAGTTTCGGATACAAACACTGTCATCAAATTCTTCTGGGTCGTGCCAGAGTTTTTGTCTAACACGAGGTTTACAAGCGTGAGTATTGTAGCTAAAACTAGTAGAGTAAAATACAGAGTGTAAGCTCTCACTTTCACAAATACTGAATTATTTTCCAATGGGTACAAACCGAACATTTTTAACACAATCAAATTTATTTTGAAACTTTGCTGTATTATGTCTAGCATTGTCTATGAATGCAACACTAACGACCGACTGAAATCATGGAATAACAGCAAGCTGATTTAAATAGGCATCCCTGCTCTATAACGTTTGCAATGCTTCAGCTTGTAATTACTACGCTAAAAAATTTATTATAAAATAAAGATCAAAGCTTTGTTCGCATAATTTTATTGCAGGGAACAGAAACTTATTTTTTTTTATCGACATGGCAAGTGATGTGTTTAAAAATTCTTGTGTCGGTTTAAAGAGTTTCATTTTTTATTCATTTTCTTGAGAGAAACCGATATTTATATACTTCAACTAAGGGTTGCATGACTCTTTGATATGAATTAATTATAGATTGTGTTTAATAATTAATGCAATATCCTTTATAAACATCATATACTATAGGTAGACCGTTGGCTACGAAGAAAATTATCGTATTTATCAAAAAAGAGTATCTAAATTGCCTCAAAAATATGCAGTTCTACAATTTTGACGCTGGATTCAAATCTGAGGATGCTGCGTCTTGTAAATTTTCTAAACTATGCACAGATCAGCAGTAAAATAAGATTGCTGGGCTAAAAAACAATCAATGAAGATAAATTATTGCACGTCAGCATGGCAATTATTGTGTTATCTAGTTGTTATTTAGATTTTTCGAAGCAGTAAGTGTAACTGCAAGTTTGCCTGAATCAACTTTGGCTGCCATTTCAAATAATAATATAGTTCAAAATATACACAAGCAGAGGTGTAAAAATTGTACTGGCTAGCCAGTAAATTATTTGAAATTAAATACACATAAATTGTTATACACGCCACTGGTAGTATTTCTTAACCTACGTCTTTCAATGAATGGCACAGAACGACTCGGATTAAGAACCAAAAAAGTGATTAATAAAAAACGTGCAACAAGTTCTCCGAAATCATAGTACCTTCAAACTCAAACTCACGATCGTGGCCGTGAAAGGACAGAAAGAATACTGCAACCTGAAGAACAAATTTTGGAACGCCACGAAGAAGACCCCGACATCAGCAATCGCCGACTTGCAGCTGAAGTTGGAGTTTCACAGTTTGTAGTGCATCGTATATTAAAAAAACAAGGCCACATCCATATCATGTTCAAAAAGTGCAAGGTTTGGAATCCGCTGATTGTCCACGTTGTGTAATTTACTGCAAATGGTTGTTACAGCAGTGTCGTGAACGGCCTAACTTTTCAAAGTGCATTTTGTTTACGGATGAAGCAGGATTCACTCGCAATGCTGTTTTCAACAACGACAACTCTCACATTTGCTCCAATGAAAATCCGTATGCTCGTCAAAAAGTACGATTTTCCATAAATGTGTGGGCTGATATCGGTTGGATGAAACAGGTAGTTTATGGAAATCAACAGTGTCTAGAAACTATCGATAAGCTTCAACAAGTAGAAGTGGTAGCCGCTACTGTTCGTGGAACTCCCGGTGGTTTCTTACCTATCAACAAGCATGTTGCGACGTTCTAAGTTACTGTTATTTTTGTTCTAATAAACAATGTAAAATCGTTGCGGCAAGGACCAAATATCCGTCAAAACCTAAAGTCGCTCAGCATGAAACATTACCAAAAATCGGTCCTTTTCAGAACCACCATTTGTTTCTACAAAGAATAATCTTTCGCACTGACCTTTAAGGATGAATGAATGCATGAATGAACGAATGTTAAGCAAGTCGATTTTACTTTAATTGAAACTGAAAGTGCTTACATCGTTTTTATTCGAACGTTTTTCCACCTACTGTTTACAAGGTGGATCAGTGACTTCGTATCGAGGGTAGTTCATGGGGGTTTTGCCCCATTCGAACGTACCAAACCTAACATTAAGTTAATTTTTGCTTTCTTCTTCAACTCCTTCTTCCTGTGTTGCTGTCCCTAATTATTTATTATTCGTTGCAGACCGACCTTGTAACAAAAATGGAGGTAGCACTTGTGTCTATATTCGTAATGTCTTCTATGCTGTTATAAAATAGAACAAATTCCTCTAACGGTACTTAATTTAGAAATATCGCTTCTAAAAATATTCGATAATCATTTTGGTGTGTTGTATTTAGCAACCACCAAAAATGATTTAGCCTCTGATTCTGAACTATATCGCTTATTATCCGAAATTATTGCTTCAAATATTTTTTTTTTATAATTGGTGACTTCAATTTTCCCAATTTCCATTGGCTTACCCCTTACCCCTTTGTTGCCAAGTAATATAAATTCGGAATACTTATTCCTTGATCTTTTCTATTAATCTCATTTGTCCCAGTTAGTTAACGATCCGACCAGATCTCGTATGAAGTTCTATCTCTTCTTGATCTAGTTTTAGTTCCCGATTACAATGTGTGGTCCACTTCCACTTTTTCGTAAATCTGATCAATCACACCATACTAAATGGAAAAATACAGTTTTCCACTACTAGTAAAAAGGCGCAAGATTATAACTATTAAAGTACGATTTCTTATTACGTTAAGAATTTCCTTTACCTGTTATCAATTATTTAAACAATCCTGATATTTCCTGAAGCTTATTTTAGAGGCAGCTATTATCTATGTTACTTAGATGCTCTTATCTCAAGAAATTTGTTGAGATTCCTGGCAAACCATGGATCAACTCATATTTTCTAAATCAAAATAGTCTCAAAAAGAAGGTGACAGATTCTTGGCCTCTAATTAGAAACCAATATGTTTACGATTCATTACTTTAAAAATTATAGACTCCATTATTGTCAAGGAGCTTAGACTTTTGTCTCTCGCAACAAGATGATATTCGAGTGTCAGCATGGCTTTACTGTGGGTATATCGTTTATTTCTAACTTATAAACTATTTAAATGACTGGACCATAACTGTCCCACTGACGTCATTTATATAGATTTGGCCCGCGCCTTCGATAAGGTTCCTATGAAACGACTTCTTTTGAAACTTGAACATTTTGGCGTTAGAGGCAAATTGTTGCAGTGGATTGATGCTTATCTCTCTAATAGATATTTTTGTGTTAGAGTGGATAATAGTCTGTCTAAGAGTCAACCGGTCCTAAGCGGAGTTCCTCAGGGCTTCGTTTTGAGTCCACTATTGTTTCTCCTATGCTTCGCTGATATATATTCTCACCTCTCTACAATAATCGCGATGCTTCCCGGTGATACCAAATTATATGCTAATCCTTTAACCGACTGTAACCAACTTTGTAGGGACTTGGAATCTATTTTTGTTTGATGTTTTGTGACGTCCTTCTCAAAGGACGTCCACGGCCAGACTAACTTCTTCGTCGATGCGGGGTGATAGGTCGATCAAATGTCGAAGATGGTGTTAATTAGGGCGCCAGTATGCCTCAAGAGGGCATACAGAAAAAAAGACGATAGGGAAGAGAAAGAAAGAAGAGTAGAAGAAAGAGATGAAAGGGAAGACAAGGGAAAAGCAACGAATACCCGGGCAGAACTAATTAGTAGGTATATAATAAAAGTAGTATGTAAAAAAAAAAAATAAATAAACCGTTTAATAGACGTAGGGTGCCGGGGACTGGTGACGATTATGACCAATAAGTCGCCCACGCGAAAACCCTCCCGGAGCTCTCCCGAACGGTAAGTGCACGCTCCCCCGTTGGTATATATAGCAATATCGTGTGATCGAACTACCCCTCCCTGTTACGGTAATGGACCCTTGGTGGATCTCGTACAGCCTCTTGTTCCTCGCGCAACCAGGGTGTCTCGTAGAAAAACGAAGAAGACGAACAAGGAAGAAGAAGAAAAAACCTGCGTCGAAAGTGGACTCTTTTTCCCCGCTCGCCACCGACTCTCTCGCCTCACAAAAATTGCGTCGTTTATCGTCTCCCCTTTTCACTTCTCTCAAAAACAAAAACACTCCCAAACTCATCTATAAAATAGCAGGAACTAAATTGTCCCACGTTGACCACCATCAGAAAGACTTAGGTGTCGTCATTTCATTAGATCTCATTAGATCTCAAGTGGGAAAAGCATATCACTTCAGTAGATAAAAAAGCCAATAATTGAATGTACCTCATTAAACACTCCTTTTGGAACCCTAATCCCTGCACAGTTAGCAAGCACAGAGGCACCAACGAGGAGACCTTATCTAACCTTTTGTACTTTCAGAGATTTGTCCAATATCAATCTTTTTGAATTAAATAAAACTCCGCAGCTTTGTGGTCATTTCCAAACAATTTTGAAACCACAATTTAGAACTCTACCTAGACAACACTTTTGGTCCAACCGAGTTACCTTATTAACATGTGGAATGATTTACCAGAGGAAGTAGCAAACGCCCCATCAAAGAATATATTTAAAAAATTGTTGGATGTGTTTCTTGACCAACAATTTTGAACTTTTTTTTTTCATACTTATTATGTTTACAGGTGTATCCTCTCTGTAAACTTCAGATTAAATAAATAAAAAATCATAACTCCTTGTCATTCGTTTATTAAATTTTCACTACCGCTAAGGTGGACAATGAGCAAACATCACAGTAGACAGAACTTCCCTCGCACCTGAAGTCAAACATTCAAATAAATTCAAAATCTTGTAAAAAAAAATGTCAAGGTTGTAAATCACCCGTCCACGACCTACTTGTCTCGTATATGTGCGAGGTATCAGTT